GAAATTGAACTGCACGCTGTTAAGTTAAAGTCTGTAATCCCAAAGCAGTGTGAAATTGAAGGAGTTGATGATATGAGTTTCAGTGATGATGCGTGAATATTTACTCTGATGTGTTTTGGGCTCGTGTTAATACTGTGTACTCTGTAAAATATTGGCAGTAAACATTTGTTCGCTGAAACGAACTGAGATAAAATTTTCATATTATTACCGTCCCTTATTTTACATATAGACCTTGTTATAAATCGAATGTAAGCTTAAACCGTACAAAAATGTTTTACTTTCAACATATAAGCAAATATAAAAAAGGAAAGATATTATAATCAGGTGACACTTTACAGAAAAATAAATTAAACACTACGCTACGGTCGTTCGTAGCTGTCGTAGTCGTCGTAGCAATGTTGTAGCGTCTCGTAGCAACGACGTGCTTCCTTGGACGCGTCTGTTTCAACCATTTATCAAGCTCGTATACTTTCTTAGAGCTTTAGTAAGAGACCCTTATCTCTTTTACTATGTTCAATTTGGAAACAAGAAAGACACCGAATAATAAAAAGTACTCATATCATTCATCTGGTAAAAGAGAATTGTATTGTAAATTTTTAACACGGCCATTTTTGCGTCGGTCATTCAAATCTAAGAATCAGCATTGCTAATTGTTTTGTTATATTCATAGTTAAAAAATCTATATATACGTACGATATGTATATACGTATATGTACGTCTCTAAGGATATTTGTGTACCTATATTGCGAATTTTTCAACTATTGTTATCTAACAATAACTAATTATTTCTATAATTTTTTCATTATATATTTCTATTTCATTATATAATAAATTATATATTTCTATAAATATAAAGGAAATATTTGGATTTAGGAAGAGAACGCGGCATGTGTCAGACGTATTTTTTTTAATTTTGTCTTGTTCTGAAAGTGAAAATAATTAGGATTTAGAAAGAGAATACGGTTACATATTTCTGCCCTTGTCATTTTGGGTCTGACATCATTGACGTGTCATTTGTTTTTTGCATTGTACTTAAGGCGGCAATAATTTGGATTTAGAAAGAGAACATGGTATATTTCTGCCCTTGTCATTTTGTGTCTGACGTCATTGGCATGTCAATTGTTTTATTTTGCAATGTTCTAAAGGCGGCCATAATTTGGATTTAGATAGAGAACACGGTATATTTCTGCCCTTGTCATTTTGGGTCTGACGTCACTGATTTGTCATTTGTTTTTATTTTGTACGTTAGTTGCCCGGCTATCAAATTTGAGCTCATTGGATATGTCTATTTCTTGTGACTGATAACGAAGATTTACAATTATAAGGGTGTTTTAAGTTTTTTAATCTATGTATTTATTAATAATCTTAACTTTGCTTCTTTGTAGATATCCGCGTCGTATTATATTGAATCTTTGATCATGTCGCACTGATTGTGCTCGAAAGCAGATTCCAGGCGTTTTTAGATTTTAAAAATGATTTCATTCAAAAACACAGTTCAACGAAGTTAGATTAAAAAACAATGTCAATTAATGACCTATCTATATTGGAATTAATTTAAAGAGTTGCGATGCGGTGAAGCAATTACAGCTGCCTCCACTGACTCATTAGAATTGCATTGTAGGCAGCGTGGACCCGCTTTCAAGTGGCGACATCTATCGAGTAACGACCTCCTTCACTTTGCATGCTTTCCCAAGTGTCTCTTTGTATTACTTGTCTGTGCACTCTCGTTAATTTGGAAAAGTTTCCAATTTTGATTAAATACAATCTGAAAAAGAATCTTCCTTGGTTTCCATTACTTATTTGAATAATAGACTGCTTGATCAGTTGAGCCGTTTTCTAGTATTGTGCCAACATTTACTAATCAGTTTTTTAATGTACATACGTAGTTGCGGATTGTGCCATTAATTTGAATTATATTCTCATTAAGCTAAACATAGATATATAATTATTCACATGTATCGATTTATGAGGGTGCAGGTTCGAACCCACCAACGGCAAGTACCAATGTGACCTTTTCCGAGTTATATGTACTTTCTAAGATTATTTAGACACCACTGACAAACGGTGAAGGAATAACATCGTGAGGAAATCTGAACTTATAATTTCTATTTATAAGTTTGAAATCGCCAACCCGCATTGAGCAAGCGTGGTGATTAATGCTCAAACCTTCTCCGTGTGAGAAGATGCTTTGCTCAGCAGTGGGCATTTATAGGTTGTTGATGATGATCGATTTATCACATACAAAACTTATATAAAAACCACATAATGCTAACCAGTACTTTTAACTATTATTCCCATAAAAAGCGTTAAAACAAAAAGCATGGAATTGAACCCTCCCACCACGTGTGTGTGTAACAGTCGCGTGACTCGACGACTCGGTGACTAATTGCGTGTCTAGAATGAACTAAACACACAACTCTCTGTACTCTCTATAAAAGAGACATTAAATCTTTTAAAATTAGCCGCTCAAACAAATGCTTGGAATATGGTTTGCTTACCTTTAATTAAAATATCCAGTCAAAAGTGGGTCGTTCCAATTATTTTGCTTATATTTTTCTTATGTATCCACCACAGAACATATAGGTCTTGGTTCTGTGTTGTCAACAATATCTTTAGAGTTTCCAAATCAAACATACATGCCTACAAAGATTTTTAACTTGCCTTTCCTCATACTCATTATTTAAAAAAAAAACCTCCTTTACATTTTTCAAATACCTCAAGCATAGATGGTTTTTATATCAAGCTTTAAATAACATTTTTTAACGTCATCCACACTCGACGTTGACTGACCGTCGCGTCGCGTAAAAGCGCTTCAATCGCTTTAAAACTTGTCTCCCTAAAGCGCTAAATTGCATTGTAACAAAAAGGTTGACGTGAATTCATTGTGAAAGATTTTCTTTAACAATCTAGCTTCAAGTCTAACTTTGGAAAATGTGTGACAGGCCCCAAGAGAAAGTTGAAAGTTAAATTTGATTAAACAAATGAAGATGTTGTATAACACTTGGTACTGGATATTAAAATATTTCGCTTCGTTGCTTCCTCTGTTCTGTCTGAACTTTGTAATGTGATCCTGTTTCACTCGAATAACTTTGTCTTTCACCTAGAAATGAGACTTTGTTTCTGATTTAATAGTTGTATAATAACGTTTTTTTAAATTTATGAGTGAGTTTTATAAGTCTTCATGGATTTATGAAATGTTGGAAATTATTCATTTTAACTGCTGGTATAAATATGTTTCTAATACAATCATGTCAAATAAAAATAAACTTTATGACAACCACGTATAAAAGTAGATTTTAAGTTAAAAAAATAAAAATATTGACGAATACAAGAAGCGATGTGAGAAACGTAATTTCAGTGTGTCTCAGAACATCTCTGTACATAAGTACCTACATAAGAGAGTAGGTACATAAGTATATTGTTACCTACCGTAGTCGTGTAAAATTTTTAGTAATATTCACCTGGTTGATTTCAGTCTAATTTTCCTGTTCTGTGTGGGTAGCACAGTCGTTATATTTGCTCTTCAAGCACAAATGTAACATTTTTTCTCAATTATATTTGCGCACCTTTGTTACCCACGAAATTAACATAATGAGACGTCGCTAGTGTATAAAATTAAAGACGTTACTTTCGAAAAACTAATTATTTACCTCATTAACACATACTTTTGTGACAAGCTGTCAAAACTACGTGTAAAATATCAAAACTTTATACGAAATATTTTTATACAGTTTCTTATAATAACTAGTGCAGAAAATAAGGAAAAAATATGTCAAAACCAGCCAACATCAATATTTATACGCTAATCACAATTCAAGTCAATAATATTATGTACTTGTCATCTGAAGCGACACTCGTGTTATACAGGGTGCTTGCTCAAGTGGATGATAAAAGCGTAGGACTATAACAGCTGTACCTGACATCCAGTGGGCAGATACTAACGGACAGATAAACCTGTCTAACTCAGGAATAATATTTAAATTCTATGTTAATATGAGGCTTCAAAATAAACTGACGTCTATTGAAATTATCCAGGTCGATTGTATACTTTAACATTTCAGAAGTCTTAAAAATCATTCACTTTACTTCTAATAGCGTAAGAAAACTGTTTACATTTTTATTGACTCAGTACTAATAACTACGATTAGTTCTTATTTAGTTGTATTTAAATATATCTGCATCATTTAATACCAAATTCACTGAATTAGCGTAGTTATCGAAACTCATTAAACGTAAAATGAACACAGTCGTATATTTGTCTGACATATTCCGTTCATGAATTTCGCCGTAAGACAGGCAATGGATGAACACAATGATATGAATGATAGAAATACTCACAAGTAATATATTGCTTGTAGAATGTGTACAAATATAACCATTGAATAGGAATTTCCAATATCAGGGTAGATAATCGAGGTATATTAAGCCAATGAATCTCCATTGGTTATTTTCGTACCCCATGCTCGAATGAACCCACGTTAATATTAAATCCGTGTATTCTATTTCTATACTTAGTATCTTGGATCTCAAATTAGATCTCCGAAAGTTATCAGTTCCTAGAAACGTTTAACAAACTTATTCATTAGCATTTTTCGGATCAAATATTCCGATGAAGATAATCTCATTCTTGTCTTTCTACAAATAGAATTTTGTGAATCAATCTCCCGGAATATCTGGGTTTGGATAAGGCTGTCTAGGGATATCTAGTATGAATTTTCTTACGATTAAATTACGTATACCGATAAGAGAATACTTTTATCAGACATGATCAATTACGTTTTAAGTAAGAAAGTTTTGTTTACCAAACAAACACCATTAGCAGTACTTAAAATACCATTTTCTTTGATTAAATTTGGTTCAAAATTCAAGATCTTAATCATCTTTAAACTCTTGAAATCGTTATACCTAATAACAGAGGCAGGTATACAAACGTAGTCCGTGATATTTACGAATTTAAGTTTATTAAAAAGAGCTCAATTACTAATGAAACTATCACTTACCTATGCTCTGACTGACCCATATGCCAAGCATGTCGAGCTGCAGCAGGCGATGGTACAGCTGTTCCCCGCGCGTGTGGTTCATGAAGAGGTGGTAGAGGAAGGAGCCACACCAGGGCGCCAGGGCTCCAAGGAGGTGGCACATTGATAGGAACCAGGCGCCAGGCCCACTCCGCCAGGGGAGCAACCCTGGGAGTACCACCAATATGTACACAAGGGAGACTCCTGTAACAAAAGATAGAAGAATATATTAGTAGGTGTTATAAAATGTATTGTTTTTTATTACCAAAGTTAATAAAAGGCATACTTTTATTAACTCTAGTCTAGTACGATTAGAGGTTTAAGCGGGTAGGAAAAGGATTAAAAATTAATATCTAATATCTTTTTATAGGCAATTCATAGGCAAAATCATAATGAAGTAACTTGGTCTTACCTATATTAAATTTTACTCTTTGTGTAAAATCTTGTGCATGGTTTATATTAACAAAAGACTATAAACACTATCAAGCTTCGAAAATGGCCGCTATGTTAGTAAGTATAGTGAACTGATATTGTACCTAAAATTGAGTGTTCGCTACAGAAATAATTTAGTTTCTATCTAAATTTACGACGTTAGAATATAGGTAAACAGCGACGAAATAACATTATCTACTATAATATTTAATATGAAAGATTTTCAACCGAAAATATGTCAATATCACGTCATGCAACGCGTTAACATAATGAAATTACGCTGACATCGAGTTGTCAAGTTAATTGTTCAGTTGACAGGCTCGTTAATATCTTTTTAGGAGCACGCAGTGATATTTTGATGGTACAAGCCCTTATTTTGCAACCATCATTAATAACTGAAAGTAAACAAAATAGGGTAGATGCCTAATTTTTATTTTAATGTCCATCCGGTAGATTATTTTAAATCATTAGACACGTATTTTTTATTTTTTTACAGAAACGAATACTTTCGACGATATATTGATTTGAAATGTCACGTGACGTCACTTCTATGTACATTTTATACGTAGAAATTACGTTTTAGCCCTCACTCCTAAACTTTGATTCGTTTTATCTAAGTATTATTATACAACAAAATAAAAAATACGTGTCTAATATGTTTACATTACCTTATTTACGGACTAATTAGATTTTTAATTTTCATACCCTGTCATCATCCCAATTAATAAAATTTGTTCTAAAAGATCAGACAGTATAAAACACCATCGGGAAGATGCCTGTTACATCTCGTAAGGATAGAAAGCATAGTAAAGTTAATGTAAAAAACTTAATGAATATTTTTTCAACTTGAAGTTCAGAAATAAGACATGCGACCACTCAACTTGACCACGGAAGCACGGAATGATAGTTAGGTACAAATTTAATACAATATTGTACCAGTTACAGAACCTGTTCAAATATATATACAGCCTGTATATTAAAACTGTTAAATCCCGTGACCGTCCTTCTAGTATAATGTGTAGTGACGTCACACACATCGGTTGTCAAATCTGTAGCTATTGTAATCACGTTGCGTGACACGTAAACAGCTAATTAGTGCTGGCTAGGACAATGATATGACCGATAATATTGTGTGCCTAAACGAGGACACACTGTTTTTGTTATTATATATAGAGGTATATCATGGTTATATAACATAATGGTGGACTGTCTCGTTGGCAGAATGTTCACAAGTGCGACTGCCGGGCAAGCGGTCTCGGGTTTGATTCCCGGGTCGGGCAAAGCATTATTGGGGTTTTTCAAAAAACCTCAGCACTGAGGCTGGAAATGTGCCCGGTATATGGCAATAGGCTCAGCCCCTATTACATGGGACTCGTAACATAAAATAGTGAAAAGTGGATGTGACATTGTACAGTAGCAAAATGTGCACCTCTGCCTACCCCTTCGGGGGTAAAAGGCGTGGAGTTATGTTTTAACATAACAATGAAATGAAGAAGTTTTTTCATATTTGATAGGTCGACGTTTTTTTTAACTCGCAATAATCTGTTATTTAGTAGAATAGTTAGTAGAGTACAGTCGTACAGATGATGAATGACGATGATGTCAAAGACATTATATTACATTTCTAACCATTTCCAACTGGCTTTTAACTTTGGTCTTATTAATACAATAATAGGTATTATGTTTATATAGAAAACCAAATCCAGGATTTTATACTCAATAGTCAACAATTAAGCTTATAAATTGTTGTGTAAAGTTTACTGACTCCAAAATTCGATTTTCCAATCAAGAAAAGAATCTAAATCTACTTTTTAGTCCATACGGATATTTATACTCAAAGCGAAACGTGACGAAAATGTCTTGTACGCTCAATAATGAAAAACATGAGGCATGAATAGTAAAGAGCCGTATATCTAGAACTCCTCCGGATTATTCAAAGTTAGTTATGGAGACAAATAGAATGACCTGACCTAGATTCCTAGATCATTCGAAAGAATCACAACGAGTACAAATGTCTATATGCGATTTGTATATTTTATCATATCTTCCTAGTATTCCTTTAAGTACTTCGGTACTTAGGTACAGTGCTAATCAGATTTCTTTCATTATTTCGACTTTATGTAAAAACAATAAAGTTGAAAATGTAATAAAGATTAAAGATATTTGACAGAAAGGTGTATGTTTACTAGTGACTGCATTTGCAAAGTAGTTTAACCCATGGTATGTATCTACGCGAGGCACAATGTATTTTCTATTATGTCTCACAAGCGACCCGCCCGGCTTCACAGTATAATATGCATGTATTATACATATAAAACTTCCTTAAGAATCACTCCATCTATTAAAAAAACTGCATCAAAATATGTTGCGTAGGTTTAAAGATCTAGACAGACAGCGACTTTGTTTTATACTATGTAGTGATATACTGACATTCAATAACACGTATTATAAATAATAATATCTAACAATTAACTTACAAATAAATAACTTATAAAATATCCTCATTGACTCAATCTTATCGGTCCTTTAGGCATAAAATTCGCAATTTACCTCCTACTTCTAATGAAGCCAATTAAAACCATATTGTTATCAACAGAAAAACAACCGCGCTACCGTCCTCGTGTCCCTGGAAGAGACGAAATACTGCGAAAATAAGAAAATTGATCCCTGGAGACCCAAGGTGCATCAGGTTGATGCTGTCAGGAAAGATGGAGAAGGTGTAATATCCTTACTAGTACTACGTTATTGCACATCAAGCTCTGCGGACCAGTATAAAATGGCCGTCAAATGTGCGAAAGGTTCATACAAAACGAATCTATGATAAACTGGCTTTATATAGTTCGATGTATAGCCTTACATTGAAGTTCAATTCTATTTGTCTGTATATCTGTCAGCATTATATTATGATCACTCTCAGGCACGCTATCGTCACATTTTGCGTTTGTCATCTGACCTCTACCTGCCTAGGTATAATACTAAGGTTTCTCCATGATCCCATTAGCACTGCTTGTTGTATTTAACTTATTATAGGAACCTTTTAAGTAGATTATAGAAATCAAAGTAAGCTAGAATTTTCTTTTATGTCGTTCGTAATTACGTTTATAATAACATTTTTATCGAGTCATATAATCTGGATCGCACAAGTTGTTCTTTGTGAGGATTTGATCAGTCAATGTTTTTGTTGTAATTCAAGCAGTTAGCTTTACCACTGTGCCAGCTGTACTTAAACAGTATAATTTCTGCCTCGCATTGCAAAACTGTGGAATGATCTGAAGTCGGCGGTATTTCCGAGCCGATACGACCTTAAAACCTTCAAGAAAGGAGCGTATTCTTTTTTAAAAGGGCTCGTACACAAAACTGTGTCGTTTGCCTCCTATTGTATAAAAATGATTCATACAAACCTTGTCCTTACAACAACGAACACGACCATAAAGAATTATCCAATTTATGTAGTAGTTCGAGAGTAATCAGGTACTCAAATATCCACAGGAATCACTTTAAGTGAATCTGCGATTCCTCTCCCGAGTGTGTTTAAGAGAAAGCATTGTTTTCAGTTACAAAGTCGCTACGTACCTACAATGCGAAACTTGAGACAAATTACTCAACACTGGGAAACGGCGTTTTACTACAGATTATACTAAAAGCATTGCCTAATGGATTCTAGTGCTGAATTCTAAATGTGTGAACTAAAGTATGTATGAGTACTTTAGTTATTCATATGTTGTTGGTAATAACGTGTTCTCTAATGTCTTCATATCCAAATTGCAAGGTTACAATTGAAATCGCAATATCAACCTTGTCTGTTACTTGCATAAAACGAAAGCCATTTTGCACTACCGTTGTAGTTGAAAGTTTTTATGCTGGGGCTATACATTAGCAGGCATAGATTCGTATCGGGTTGGTGCGCAAAACAACGATTCTCGGACATACACGATGTTGTCTACGGCGAATATTCGTTGTTTACTTTCGATGGAGGAAGCTGTTTTCGTTATTCCACTCCATACTGTACAAAAACACAAGTATGTCGGTTCCGTTTCAAAGTCTGGATGACACTGAAGTGACGAAGGTATGGCCACTCAAACGAATATTGTCGCGACAAAAATTTTGAAGCGACCAGTTTACCGACAGTGCCCCGATGCTACATCGGCTGCACGCGAATACATCGCGTTGCAACGATGTACCCGGCCACATACATCATAGGTACATACATAGCCCGAATATTTGCCGTAACCCGCAAATGTAGTCCCAACTTTAGCAGAAGATGTATAACTATTGTTTAACAGAGAGTGCAATTCGGAATAAAATCGTTAAACCATTTTGTTTGATCATCACATTGGCAACGTTTGCAAGTAACGCAATAACGCGTTTAATTAATTATTCCATCCAATTTCCCGAATTATTAAACAACATAAAACGGTCCGAAAACAAAAAAACCGAGCCCGAATAAGAGACCCCGAAACCTGAATCCAACTAAGTAATTCCAAATCAGTTTCTTTGTTTAAAATTAAATTGGTTTCAAAAATAAACCTTGTGTTTGTTTATTTGGAGTCTAGTTTGCAACACAGAAAAATAGAATACGATTTTGTTTGCAGATTTACCGTTATTTACATATTTTTCGTAGGATTTCAGCACAAGCTATGTTTATGAAGCAGCCTACGTTTTGGCACGAGACGGCCGGCTTAGCTCTTATATTGGATTTTTATAAGAGCTAGCTACACTCATGTTTTGCTCCGGATTATTTACGTAAACAAAACCTGTATTATGTAGATTAT